CGCCTCCCGGGTTCAGGCAATTCTCCTGCCTCAACCTCCTGAGTAGCTGGGATTACAGGGACACGCCACCATGCCCAGCTAATGTTTTGTATTTTTAGTAGAGACGGGGTTTCACCGTGTTGACCAGGATGGTCTCGATCTCTTGACCTCATGATCCACCCGCCTCGGCCTCCCAAAGTGCTGGGATTACAGGCGTGAGCCACCGCGCCCGGCGGGTAGTCATTTTTATACTCCCCCAAATTTGACATTTTTATACCCCCCACCACATTTGACAAAGTCTAGAAATGGAAATGTTTCTTTTTGGTAAAACTCTGCAACTGATTTTCAGAAAGATTCCTTCTGGAATTAGAGTCATGAAATTTTCTTCTGTATTAGAAATTCTAAATTGATCAAATTGAATGTCATTTCTCAGGTATGAAGAAGTGAAGTTAGAAAAATTTAAGAAAGCAATTATGAAATGTTGTTTAAAAATCATGGAGCTATAAAATTAAATTACAAGATCAAAGAAAAATCAAAGCAGAAGAGATACTGTTGATTAATGGTGAAAATATTAACTATACAAACACAAACTCATAGATATTAGTAGAGTTCCTTTTACCTCATGCACCTGAAAAATGTTTAAGAGGCTTTAAAGGAAAGCTTTCTTTGGGGAGGTGCAAAGCACTGAAATTACAGTTGTGAGCCATGGTACCCAGCTCCATTTTCATTTAAAATGGCCATATTTGTTCTTATGTCCTGAATCTTGAATCTGCATAATTTTCTTCTTTGATATGAACTTTCTGAAGGCCACAGGTCACACCCACTTAACTTGTTTCATACAGTGTTTGGCATGGTGTTACATGCAATTACATTCTAATGTCCTTTTGGTCATCTTCTGGGACTGCCAGTCAATCATTCAAGACTCACTTCAGTGAAGCCTTCTTTGACCTGCTTTACCCTCTCCTGATACAGCTGTTTCTACAGCATCTCAACAAATCTCTATTATTAGTCATCACACTGAACCACTGAGCTCTAATTAGGTTTATGTGTTATCTTCACTGATTAGAAATGAGCTGTGTCTTAATCATCTTCATGTAACTGTAGTGTCTAGCTCACTGCTTGTCATTCAGTCACTGAATGTTTGACAGCTGAATGAATGAAAGTTCCTCCTAGAATCGAGAAATAACTAGTGAATGCTTGTGATATCATTGGTCTTATAAATACAAGGATTTCTGTGAGTAAATCATAGCCATGGCAAAAAAAAAAAAAAGGCTAAAGTGACATGTAGGATTGAGATCCTTGGTGACTCTAAAGTATCTGCTCAGTTCCTCAGTAGGTATTTGGAATAAATACCAAATAATAAGCCCCCCTACCCTCAGGGAGTTTGACAGATAATTGTGTAACCTATGGAAGTATATTATTAGCAATTAACCAGTTGACTGATGGGAGGAGAGAATTGGCCAGAATTTGAAATTTAAGGAGAGAAATTCTACCAGAAGTTTTGATAATGGAATTAATTAGGGGATTTCATTAGAAAAAAAAGTTGATTTTAGACTACAAATTCAGTGAGAAGTAGGATGCAGCATGGCATGATGGATTGGAAATCGTTTCATGCATATGTGATAGCTTGGACCAAGGCTTGTAGCCAAGAGAGAAGAATGAAACTGACTTCTCTTTGATCCTTTTGTTCTTGACTTAACTGTTATTTCTCAGTCCTTCTGGACCATCCCATAGTTTTCCCCACTTCCTCTGCCTTTCTCTATCACTTCATGCTTGTGTCTTTCACAGCATGTAACCCTGTTTGTGATTATGTATTTATTTACTAGATTATTACCAGTGTCCCCCATATAGATTCAAAATTCGTTAACAAAAGAAGCCACATATTTTGCATTATTCTGTGTATTCAGCATTTGGTACAATGTGAATAGAAAGCAGTGGTTACCTATTTGCTGAATAATGGACAAATGAAAAAATGACTGAAAAGTGCCTAAACAAGATGTTTAGCCAGGCTAGATTCTAGGCTAGATCAAGGTGAGTAGGTCTAGTGAGGTCAAGGATGCTACACTTTTAAGGCATGTCTGAAGCTTATGTTTGAGGTACTATGTTTACATAGAAAGAGTCCTGGATCAGAAGTCAGAAGATGTAGATTCTAGCTCCAATTGCCAAATCGTACAATCATTAACCCATTAAACTTCTCTAGGCAGAAGTTTTCTCATCTGTGATACAGGAGACTCAGACTAGATGATCTATAACAAGACTTCCAGTTATATATTTCATACATTATTGAGCATCTAATATGTGGACTACCTCATGCTACATGACTTTAAAGAGCTCAGCATCTATTCAGTACGGAAGATAAGTAGAATAAAACAAATATGCAAGTAGCTTTACTATGGTATTCCATTTTAAGTGGAAAAATGGGGTAAACATTTGTAATTCAGAGTCTGAGAATATACTCTGGGAAGTGTGAAAATACAATAGTGTGGTCAAAGTAATGGCAAACGTGATTGTAACCACTGTATGTAAAACTTAGAAGTTGTAAGGGAATGTAAGTCTATAGTGAGTGAAACTAGAACTTAAATGATGGCTACTGAAGGGAAGAATTCAATGGTGGGGATAGAAAATAGAAATATTTAAATACTATTATGGCACAGTAAATTCTCATTAGTCTCTGCTTTAATTCTTGGACCATGTGGCTGGGACAAGAGGACCATAGTAGTAGGCAATTACAGAAAGAAGTCAAGACAAGAGACAAGGAGAACATATGGTTCTGCCATGTGCCAGGTCTATTGTTAGTCTTCTTCACTACCATATCCCATAACTTAGCATGACCTGTGGTTCTGAGTACTGTTTTTTTCTAATCAATCAGGATCACTTATTTATTATGAGCTCTTTAAGGATGTCCCTAAGGACTTGCATTTAATAGGTACTACACAGCTAGATGGTGAATTAATAATTAAAAGAATAAAAGACAAAATGTTCATGTTCTCTCAGAGTAACTATGATATCTTAGAAATATGCCTAGTTTCAGTTAAAGGAACCCATATATGTACTTAGCAAATAAAAATCCTAAAGAGCTCCTCACTAACACTTGTGGAAGAAATAAGCATTTGATTTATTTTTTTCTAAAACAATAGCAACAAAAATCTGTATGTACCACTCTACTAGAAAGCAATTCAGGGTGAATTTTCTTGATAGGCAATGCTAAGATGTTTGCCAACTTTAACACCAGAAAACATTTAAAGTTTACTGTTAAAATTCATTTCATTAGTTCGGTTCCTAACCATTCAAAGACTTTCCAAAGGCATTCATCTCACAAGGCATTCACCTCACAAGACATTCACCTCACAATAACTTTGGGGAAAGCAGTTATTGTTTTGTACCAGATTTTCCTCACTTTGTTTAGTGATGGGCTTCGTTAAGTAAGGCATTATATTAAAATGGAGCATCTTGTATCACTTAGTGTTTATTGAAACACTGTGTTATATGTGGGCAGTTTATGGTTACATAGAAGAGCCATGTTTCTGCTTTCGAATCAAAGGGAAAGATGTAATACTTGAAGTTGTATTTGTAGCTGCAGGGATAGACCTTGAACAATGACAAATTTTGTCAGAAAGTCAAATGCTCATGCAGAGTGGGTGGCATTGTGGGGGAGAAACTGGCTTTACTGATAAGAGAGAAGCATGCATCATTGTTTTCTTGCCTTATTTTATTGTCTTTTAAGAATAGAAAAACTAAAATGTATTTTAAGAATAGAAGAACTAAAATTTAAACTGCTCTTCTTTGGATTAGCTGGTCCTGAGTGTTCATGACATGAGGCACCATTTTAACAGGAGTTAAGGAAGACCTCAATAGGGCAAACTGCTTAGGTGCATCAGTTTGCAGGGTGGGTATGTAAACCACCTTTCCTCTAGCTACTTGCTTCCAGGTAGCATAATACTGATTTGTGAAATGGATTGGTCTTTCTGTCCCTGCCATTATTTCTCCTTAGGTTGGGAAGTAGGAATTATCTGACTAGTAAATGTGTAAGCCAGAATGGTTCTATGTCGCTCAGTCTTCTTCCTTTCGTATGCTTGCACTAAGATCTCATGACTTCCAGTGCAGAATTCTTTCTATTGGGCAGTTAGATTGATATGCTCTAGGCAATGGTTCTCAAACTGGACCTTGCATCAGAATTCCCTAGAAACCTTTTTAAAACATAGGTTTCTGGGTGGGCTCCCCCCACCCCCAGAGTTTCTTTCTAATGGTGTGGGTTATTTCTAACAAGTTCCCAAATGCTGCTGGTCTTGGGATGTTCAGTAGTAAAAAAAAAAAAAAAAAAAAAAAAAAATTACTTTGCTTTATTAGCAATTCAATTTACTTGCCAGATAAAGTGAAAACAAAAAAAGAAAGTGCTGGAAAATCTTAAGAAGGATGAAGAAATGGTTGTAGAAACACTTCGATACCTTTGGGAATTAGACTTAAGCACGAGTGAAAGCAGTTTTAGCCTTATGTTGTAAAGACCAAATTACTGTACTATAGTGTTTGTTGTTGTTGTTAGTCATTACCAGAAGAGTAACTACTACTTGCTTGGGGAAGCTTGTATTTGCTTATGAAAATAAATAGAAGGCAAGGATCTCTAAATGTGCATTCCAAATTCTAATCTTTGGAGAGGGTAGGTCTGAAGTCCAACATAATTAATTAGGTGGACCCAAATTAAAAGAAAGCCTTCAAAAAGATATACAAAGACTCAACATTTTTAGAGAAGATATCTGCTTAAAATGGTAGTTATTTGCATAAAAAGCATATGCAGTAGCTTCTTTTATACTACAAGTTTTACTTATTAAATATAATTGAAAGTTTAAAATATAACCCTCTCAAAATTCAGTTTACATACATCTAGGATCATGGGAGAGTTATACATCCCAGGTTTCTAAGGGCCAGTAGAATTTGATATCAACTTGTCTACCATTTTTTAACTTATTTATGATATAAAAAAAATGAAGTATTTCATCTACAAAAACCATTTTCTTTATTTTTAGGAATTGGAATGCCTTACTATTCGATGACCCTCTTGAATTATTTAACACTTCCATCATTTTTTTGAAGTTTGAGATGTGTATGTATATATTATCATCTGAACAATATTCAAAACCGTCTATGAAATGATATCACTCCTATACCTCTTATAGCTTTCCACAGCACCTGCTGAGAGCACTGTCCCAAGCAGATCAATGAGTATGAATGGGCCCAAGGATAAATCGGGTTGGAGCACACCTCTAGGTAAAATGGAAAGGCAGCTGTGATGCAGGGCCCCTACTTATTTTTGTGAATGTCTGCTCTAAGAGACCAAAGTTTGGGACATTGTTTTTTAAATTTCAGTAATGTATTTGCACTCTACTTCTTATTTGGGGCATTTTTTAATAATCAGGTTTTACATCCTAGAAGGTATCAGGCTAAAGTCAGAATAATGCTGTAACAGTCATGATTTTGTCCATATGGAAGATAATATTTTATAATTTACTGTAAGAAATACTATAGGGTGCTATTCAGCATATTTTTGGACTTTTTGGCTTTAGTAACAGAATGAGCCAATACTGTTCAAGAATAGTTTACAGTAGATGCTGGAAAGAACATAGAACTTGGAGCCCATTTAAAGGAATTAAGGAATTCTCCAATATGATTCTTGCTGTGTATTAGAGCCAGCATTTCTTTCCCCTGTGAAAATGAACCCATGATTTTATAATGTATGTCATTGGGAAAATATGAATCAATTCATGGAATTTGAAATAAGAACATAGGGAAAAAATAGTTCACAATTTTTTGATGATACAAACAGGTAATATCCTGTATAAATTAGCCTCTGAGATAAATGGTAATACAATCTGCTTTGTCACACTTTTCTTTACATTGTCCTACATATCTGACTTGGATTTCACCCATAGGTATGGTGCTAATATACCCACTATTATGGTTGCGGCAAAAAAAAAGCAGCTAAAAAATGATTTGCCCACATTAACTTTGCTCAGTTTATAATTTGTAAAAAGAATTTTACAACATTCACTCAGGCAAGTTTTCAATAGAATAGAACAAGAAAGTATGTCTAAATTGGCTTTTAAGATAAGTATCAGGCTAGCGCCAAAATAAATTTTGACTGTGGCTTGCAAATCAATTCATTTTACATTCCTTCATCCCCTCAGTAAGCCCTACGTATGTGCTAGGTACGGTGTTAAGAGGTAAAGATACAGAAATAAAGACAGTCACTGCCCAGAAGCAGTTTCTTCATGAGATGGAGAGAGACAAGTTAACTATGAGCACAGTAGGATTATGACAGAATTGTTGCTTCAGGAGTTTCAGAAACACCTGGAATCCTAGCTTAGAGTTGGAATGAGCCTGGGAGCTTGGAAGGACTTCCAGAAAGTAGGGAAGTTAAGGGGACTAGCATTCCAGGAATAGGAAAGGTACGTGCAAAGGAAAGCAAGCCAGAAAGTCCTGAATTTTGAGAATCAAGGGTTGTCTTATTCTTTATCACACATACCAAATGACTAGTTTTGTCCCAAGTCCTAATAAAGTCATGAAACAGAAAACATAGAGGATTCTTACTTATATTAAAAAGTAATTTCTAAAAAGCATTACTTTCAAGATTAACTTTTAAGTATTTTGGCCTTTGTAGTATATCACGGACAAGATAAACTGAGGGGAAGAAAGAGCTAACAGAGATGCAGAGAAGCAGAAGGCAAGAGGGACAGAGTGTGAGAAAGCATGTAGAGAAAGGAAGTGGTTTTACAGAGATTTACAAGCGATTTTGTTTCCTTTGCTCCTTTCTTCCTTCCTTTGCTCTGTTTCTCCTTTCCTGCCTCTTCCCTCTTTTCCTCCTTCCCTCCTATCTCCCTTCCATCCCCCCTCCTTTCTTTCTTATTCCTAAAGAGATCTCCAGAAACTTACATGCTTTAGAAACCTGCTCCCACGGATGGTGGATGGGGTAAACCTTTTTCTGACCCTTCTCGTCACTTGCACTCCAGGCACCAGGAGAGGGAGAAGCCAACTGCCACCATTTAGGGGAAGGAAGAGGCTGGAAAGAGGCGCTGAGAACTATCTACTGGGAGAGGCAAGTGTCCACTTCTGAGAAGGAGGACGAAATCAGGAGGAAGAAGGAAAAAGAAGAAAGGATAGGGAGGAAAAAGGCAACACTTTGAATCTTTACATAAAACTGTATAATTCATTTCTGCTTTGGGAAGATGGAAAAGACTTTTTGTCCCTTTCTGAGAGACAGCAAGAAACTTTCAAGCATGGGTATGTGATTTGGGGTAACTATGTAACTAGAAATACTGATAGAAAAATAATCTTTCCTATTCCTTTTATTTTTTTAACAACAGCAACTAAAAAGAGCATGAGGAATTTGAAGACAGAGATGAGTTGTGTAGCACCAACATTTTCTTTCTGCCTGACCTTAATATCTGATGAATTAAAAGGTCAGTTTTAAGTGCACCACATGATAGGCTTCCATCACTTTTATTAGCCCAGGTGGTAAATATGAAGAAAAATAATTATCGTTTATTAAATTATCATTCCGTGTATTTTTTTTAATCCAGCAGGAGGAGCTCTAACATGCTTTACAGCCCAAATTTTAAAAACAAAACTTTTTAAAGCTAACAGAGAAAAACAGAGAGGCATTGTGCCTTGCAGGCTGCCATGTCAGTGAACAAATATGTGACTAAGTCCAATTAAATGCTTCGTGAGAAGCCAAGGAAGCCAAGCGATGATACTCGTGGAGACAGAACGGCCCACATTTCCTCCCTTCCACGAGCCTCCTCTTTCTGATGCAGTTAAGCTGGGACTAGTCTGTAGTATTAGCTCTTACAAAAGAGGGAGCAAAAGGATGATTTCTGGGCAAGACTAGATGTAATTCTTTCCCTCTGAAAGTGTCTTATTGTTTCTAAACAAGTCTTTGACACTGGCTCAGGAATTTAAAACACATTTAAAAACAGAATTTTCATTGTTGGTTGAAGGCACTATGAAACTTCTAAAGGTTCAGTTGCTTCTACTCAGTGGTTTGTCAGAGGGTTTTTTTTAAATGAGAGAAATGCTGTGTTTGTAAAAATTGGTGCTAAAAGGGTAACGAATCATACGTCCCCTGGGCCATGTAAAGAGTCTGCAGAAAGAATTAGAGCGTTCTAACACACATGCTAACACACACACACACACACACACAAACTGGAACTCAAAGAATTTACTCAGGAACAGTGAGGAGTGTATGAATTTAACAGTTATGGGATTTTTAGGGTAAGCCTTTCCATTTTGGACAGTGTTGTGGGAGTGGAATGGATGAGTGGGCATATACGATGATCAGAATTACTTAACCTGAAGGAAATTTTCAACCAATCCATTTTAATCTCTTGCCAACAAGAAGTCAAACTTTTGTTTTACACCTTAATGGTATGCTCACATTTCAAATTTTTATACAGGCTCCTACAGAAACTTTAACTAGACCAATTCAGACCAAAGTCACTAAATAAAGCTAGTCTAGACGGAAAATCTATGAAAACCGTATGTCTTTTAGGCATCTGTCTTACAAAAACTACCATCATCCCAGAGAAATTGTTCACAAAATATGCTTTTAGGAAAACACTGCTGTACTGACCATGGAGGGCTGTACTTAAGAAGACGGCTGGACTCGGAAAGAATAAAGCCAAAATGTTTATAAATGAAAGGCTCTCATTTTCACATACATCTAACTGCCTGTAAACATTACTGAAAGGCTGGGCCAAGCAGATATCATTTATCTTACCATTATTCTAGAAGCGATCAAAAAAATTTACAGTTTTGTTCCTCCTCACTACTACAGAACATTAGACCAGGGGATCTCAAAGCAATTCTGTTCTCACCCACAGAAAACTGTTTTGAATAATGTTGTAAGTGGATGAGGCCAATAAACCAGAACATTTTCTTCTGATTATTACCTCATCCTGCTGGCCTGCCAAACACAGCTAGCAGGCAGGTGTCCGATATAAGTTACTAGAGGAAGACTGTTCTGTATAATTGGTGTAGGGATCATCTGAGAGACAAGGGAAATCAGAAGGACTAGGGTACAGAGGAAGGGTGCAATGAGAATGCAGTAAAGAGGAATATTTTAAAAGTTTGCTTTTCCAATTCAGCATTGCTTTCTGAACTAAACACAATGGTCAGTGCTACCTTCAGTATTCTAGGTATATAATGTTTCACCTTAAGATGCATTTTAATTTTAATAAGTGGTAAGACATCCACAGAAAAAAATATAAATGCAAACTTTAGTGACAAAAATAACATTCTAACTGAAAACTAAATAGCAATGGAGCCTATGAAAGTATTTATGAATTGCAAAGATTACTTGTAATCCTCTAGAATATTTTACTGAAACTTATTTCTCTGCAGAAAAGGAGATGTTGGAACAACAATTCAGTAGTAATAATTATTGGCATGAATAACTCCATTTTTTAGTCACCTAGAAGACTGTGAATGAACAATATACATCAAATAGCCACATATGGCAAAAAGGTCCTAAGTTGGAAGAGAAAGATACCAGGAAAAAAAGGGAAATCTACTAGATGTAATCAATCATACTCCAACGTTTTAAGCAAACACCAGAAACACTATTTCAATGTGTTTTATCAAAGATGTTGTGCTTTAAAATGAATTTTCAATATAAGTATGAGTTTTCAGGCATTAATAAGATAGTGATGGAGTAATTTAGAGTGTTTGAAATATTAAAATGAATAAAGCAATTATATCAGCATCCCTTATTAAAGATTCCCAGACTGAACTATAGAACATTTAAGTAAGCAAATCACAGTCTACTGATGAGTCACAGGGGTTTCTCTGGTCCATTCATTTTAGTCCTAAGTGGTACTATTGTTAGAGCTAAAACTATTTAAGTCTGCTTTCATGCAAATCATATGCAGAGCACAGATTTTAGTTTGACTTTAGACCAAGGTATTTGGCGGGAAATTACTAGAGTGGTTTTTCTAGTTAACACATTTACTAATGTTTCCTTAATTTTTCCACCCCAACAGGCAATAATTAAGGTGGAATTTGCCTCACATGAAGTTTTATTATTTTAGTCATTAAAATATTTTCCAACACTACGGAGAAGCAAAAAGCAATTTGCGTTGTTTTAAAAAATAAGTAGACATTTTCCTGAGTTTTTATAGCTTTTCCTCAGTGAATGGTATTATAATGAGAGTAGTTGGGTAGACTTTCTGGTGTAGGCCCTTGAGCATGATACTTAAGGGTAGATTTACTTGAGGGAAAAATTTCATTCACTCTTAAAATTGGCTTTGAGAATAATCCAAATGTAAACTTAAAAAACACACATGGTACAGAATGTATCTTACATAAATACCCATTCTCAAGTGGAATAATTTCATTGCATACTCTCTGGATTGCAAAATGCCTTTAAAAGTCTTTCTCATATCCTATTCTCACAAGAGGTCTCATTCTAGATGAGAAATACACTAATCTTTTGAGACAAACGAAATACTGCAAATGAATGTTATATATTTAAGTATACAGACCAACAGTAAATTTAGAAAATGTTGCCTCATGAAAATCTTAAACCAAATACAGCTAATATTTTCATGGTGAAAACAAGTGGTACATTTGATTGTAAAATAAGACCATTTCCCAAGTCATATTCAAAGCCACATAATGCCTTCTCATACTGTCTTATTTTCTCTTAGTTTGCAAAATTACCATAGAAGCTTAGGAATTCTCATGTGGTGGTGTATTTAGTTTGTGGTTATCCAGATCTTTATTCTTTTATTCTCTTTCTTAGTTGGTACATTAGCCCTTTTACCAAAGAAGCAGGGAAGGAATGGGGCTTATTTCTAAATTTCATATTCACTTACACATTTAAAAAGAGTATACCTTTTCCTGTTTTCAGGTTTAAATTAATTCCTACTGGGAGAAAAAGTTGACTTTATCAATATTTGGAACTTTACATGTCTCTAAGCAACTGAAGTTAGGAAGACCCTACCTTACTATGGATTATGAGTGATTGCGAATTTTGCTACTTGCCATTTTGATTTAACATATTTTCAGATATCTGGATGGAATTGATTCACATGAGCTGATAACTTCGACCAGAAAAAAGGAGTGGGCATTTCCTAGTGCTTATAGGAATAGTTAAAAAATAATTCCAGAAATCATAGCATTTGCTATTTGTGGTTTTGCCTGTTGTGTGGCTGTGATGCCTGAAAAGCAGCCACAGGGAAAAAAGTGCCATGAGGAGACTGCCCAAATACCTAGTGCCTTTAGACTTTTTGCCTTATGTAGGAATTCTTTCTTGGTCAAAGTTGCCATGGGATCTAAACTTGATGTAAATACTTAAATAATGTGGCATCAGTGCACATGTAAATTCTCTCAAATCCAATGCCTTTCAACGCTGCCCTCCCATCCCCCACAATTAAAATATTGGCCACACCAAAAGTGTAATATTCTTTTGGCAACAGCATTTGGTAAGCCAGATGGATTTAATTTGGCAACTTAAGGGTGTAGAGGTTCCCCCAGAGAACACTTACAATACATTGGCAATAGGAAGCTAATTTCAGTGTGGAGTGTTTTAAAATTTTACCTTTGAGCAGCAATAAAGTTATGACAGGCAGGCAAAAGCCATCAAACCCTCAGCTAAATCCTCAATGTTTTCCTTGTATTGCTGGAGGTAGGCATTTAAGGCATGTTTCAGAGTGAAAGATACAGCATTTATATTTTCATTTTTAATTTCCTGGCTTTTATCGGCTAAAGCAACTCTAGTAAATGTTATTTAAATTTTGCTTCTAGGCCTGGCATGGTGGTTCACGCCTGTAATCCCAGCACTTTGGGAGGCTACAGCGGGTGGATCACCTGAGTTCAGGAGTTCGAGACCAGCCTGGGCAACATGGTGAAACCCTGTCTCTACTCAAAATACAAAAATTAGCTGGATGTGGTGGTGCATGCCTGTAATCCCAGCTGCTTAGGAGGCTGTGGCAGGAGAATCACTCGAACCCAAGAAGCAGAAGTTGCAGTGAGCTGAGATCACGACACTGCACTACAGCCTGGGCAATAGAGACTCCACCTCAAAAAAAATTTTTTTTGTTCTAATATTTCAAAGAAAGAATGAAGAAGGCCCCTTCCCCCACCCACCAGTAGTACTTTCTTCTCATTTGTTGCTTAGATCCAATTTAGAGGTGAAAGAGCTATGACCAATGTCATGCCATGAATCATTGAAGTCGTTAAAAACATACTACAGTATCTAAAAAGAACTGTCTGAATGTGAAGGTTTCCCTGTAAAAATCATTATTTTCTTACAGTGAGAGAAACAAGAAAGTACAGCGATGAAACAGAAGTACTAGTTTGTGTGGCATCTACAGGTCTGTATCTGCTTCCTTGTATATAGGAACATTCAGCAGATTCCAACTGGTGACAATTTGCTGCTGACTGGCCACAGGAAGAATAATAATCCTTTACTGTGCATTTTTTACTGGCCAGTGGCTTTTCTGCCAGACTCCTGTCTTGGCTGTCTTCCTCTATCAGTCAGGTGAAACTCAGGGCAGGGCTGGGTCCCCTGAAACTCAGGAAGGCTTTCCCTGCAATGGGTGAAGTTTCACAATTTAGAGCTCCAAAGAGAATAATGACAGAGCTATTTGCTATTATTTGTCATGGGATGTGGAAGAAGTTTGATTAGCTTAATGCCAGTTACCACTGGGCTAACAGCAGCATATTGTTATATTTACTGCTGCCTGTCTGCATTTATGTTCCTTGTACTTTGCCTCATGTAGATCCTTTCTTATTTTCCTTTTCCTTTTGCCCTCTTGCAACATAGGATGTTTGGAAGAGTGAGATAAGGGACACATTGAAAACAGAGAGGCAATCTGAAGGCTACCTTGACACATCTGCAAAACTCCCAGATTCTGACTTTCACACTTGCATTCTGTTTCTGGGCCTCACCTAAACAGACTGCCAATCATCCGAGCCGTGGCAGGATGGAGATGTTTGTGTAAAGTAGACTCAAGTTTGCAAGGCTCAAGAAGGAAACCACCAAACTAATTTTACTTTCACTTAAACCAGATTGAAACCAAGACTTGAAGAATTAAAAACTTTGACATTAACCATTGATTCATTCCAATGAAATATTGTGTTACAGCCAGAATCATGGTGAAATTGGAATGCGGCTTTTGATGGGATATTTAATTGAGGGACTTACATTAAATTGGACGTTTTCTTTAGTGAACAGCATGTGGCCAAAATTCTATTTTCATTAAAGTATATTAAGCATCATGACAACTCATATTAAACCTGCAACAAATGATTAATTACATTTAGAGACTTCAAAACAAATGAGATGTCTTAAATAATAAGAATCAAAAAGAACATCTCAAAGTTGTTTCTATTCTTAGTAATTATATTAAAAAAATCTTTCCTTGCTGTTAAATCCAGTTGCTAAAAATAAAAACTGTTCCCTGAAAAATCAGAATGCCTAATGATAAATTTGTTTATTTGTTTTTTAAAAGAGGAGGATGGTGAGAAAAATAGAAAGCTCCTGGCTGACATCAGAAATCACAAGATGAGTTCCTCATTTGTCCAAATGACATTCAGCTGCTAAAAGAAGTCAGACTTTTAGAGGGCTGCTGAGGAGAGAGTAAGTCAGGAGGTTTCCAGTACATGACTGCAGGGGAATCAGACACAGACTAGTCACGTAAGTTGTCCATGTACCCTTAGCCCACGACTTCAGGGCTCAGCAGCTTCATCCTTCATGGCACCAAACCTTGATGTAAGGGATTCAAAGACACACTAATAAGAATAGTGAATTTGTCCTTACTCAAAATTTGGGGGACTGTCTAAACAAAACAAAACAAAACAAGGAGATCTTATCCCTCAGTGAAAGGGACTTTATGTTAATTGTCAATTATAACAATATATAAAATATGTAAAAAAGAATTATAGCACTGCAGGCCATCAAGGTCAAACATTTAAAACAAAATTAGGCTAAATTTTAAGGATTAAATGGCTTTTATCTTTGTAAAGAAAAGAATGTGTGTGTATTGATTGCCTATGTAGAATGATTTATAAATCTTCTGGCATGGTCAATTTGTAATAAATTACTGAAAATGTGGGATTATGATGAAACTCTTTAAATGTGCCAAATAAAGTCAAGGAAACCACCTAAGTCCTGGGGTGGGCATGAGTGAGACACTGGGATAATCCTGATGCTACTCTGGGGCTGTCCGTGAGGGGTGGGATATCAGCTTCCCTACGGGGCTCACCAGAGACTCCTTCAAGGGAGCATTTCTTGGTTCTTGGTTTCCATGTTGTGTTTATGTCATGTTGATAAGCTGGAGTAAAAGCCAAATCCTTTTGCATGATTCAGTTTTGTCTTTTTAAAGAGACACTATCATACTTGGTGAACAAGGGTAGTGAAAAAAATACTTATATTTTTCAACTTTTGTTTAGCTTGGAATATTGAGTGATGAGGTTAAAAAAAAGTTTCTTCTTCTTTGGTTGGAGACCCTTCCTCCCACCCTTATCCCCTTTTGACCATTGCAAAATAGCTTAGTCCAAGGAAAGGGAAGAAGACAAATGAGTGAAATAATGCCAGAGTGAGTTATTGCCAGGAAAAACACACTCGGATTCAGTTAATTTGTTCTGTTAATGTCAAAGGCTGTGATTCCCAATTAACTAATTTTAAGACCCTATATCTGAAAGTAGTTACATCAGCTCTAAAGTTAATGTCTGATGAAGATCACGATCTTCAATTAAGAGAACAGGGACCCTAAAGAGGTGGTGATGTCTGTTTAAGATCATCTTGCTAAGTAAATACACACCGGCTTGGATTTTCAAACAGCGTTTAGCCCCTTCAGAGAAGTTGAGTGGAGGTGAGAAGGGAGGGAACAATCCAGATATTTTGGCAATAGAAAATGTTCCACAAATCACTGATTTGTGTATACTCAACTTACTAATGACAGAAGCATACATACTAGTGAGTCTCTTTGGGATAGAGACGCTTCTCTAGTTCAAGTGGAATTAATTAAAACAGGCATGTAGTTTGCAATATTTCCAGCTCCCGCACCGAAAGGCTCCATGCACATAAACCAGAACAGCTTCAGCAGCTGAGAAAAGCTAGGCCAAAAATGACTCCACCACTTCTCTCCTTTCTCTCCTTTTATATTGGAATGGAAAGATACAATAATATATATTTTTTGAAAGCAGAACACTCATGGTTTCTGTACAATTGCAAGTGCTTTGATTACCTTTGAATGGGGTTAACATAAAAATATATATGCTCTTAAAAGTCAAGATCATAACTTGCTAATGAAGTCGTGAATTATCCAGAAGGAAACTATGCACAAGCACATGCCGAATGGCAGAATCTCTTGTCTCTAAAAGTTCAGTTATTGCCTTTGTAATATTAAAGCCCAACAGGGAGCTGGAGGGACACCTTTTGTGCTGTCTTGTCATGTTATAGGTTTCCAGTTTCAGATAAAAGAGGAGAAAGGGCCCTTAGAAAGTAAAAAACTTGAAAAAAATATCAAACTTCCTTCTCTGAAAGCAAAGGGTTATTTTCCTAGAGATGATGGATAATGGCATTTCGACTTTCTAAGTTTCTGATAGAGAAAATGGAGGCAAATCACAGAGGGGAAATAGAATATATTAAACAAATAGAATAAGGTAAAGTTTCAACGACCGCTTCCCTTGATTTTTTTCTTTCTCTCATTCTCTCTTCCTTTCTTTTTCTCCTTTCGTTTTTTGAAATCTTAAACCCCATTTCTGACTTGTATTTGGTAGGATCCCTGCTCTAACTTTTATTAAAAACAGACTTTATGTGGTCAGAACTCCCCATCTAAAGCTGGATTTAACAGGCATGGGGATCCTGACAGTCTTTCTTGCTCTCTCAGGTGACCACCCCCTGTGCCCTTTCCCAGGATTTCCCTCCCAAAGTGCTGAACTGGCACAGAAACTTGAAGGCTCAGCACAAAACAACCAACTTTCCTTTTTAATCCTGTACTCTCATTTCTGTTTTAAATTTGGGACTCTCTGCATGGTCAGATCAAGTAAAGTCTGGTTCTAACTTGAGAGTATTCTAGAAATTTCAAATAAGGCAACTGTCATCCTATAAATTCCCCAGTGCAATCTCATTAAATCCTGCTGCCCATGCACTGGCCATCCAGCTCAGGCTACTCATTCTCGTCCGGCTGTCTTACGTGTGTGAGCTGGAAAATACCAACAGCAACCCCACCCTGCTTAACAAGTCAGCTTAGCATTCAAAAGTTGATTTTTCTGAAGGGTACTGGCAAGCCAGCTCATTGGAAACCCACAGGTAAAGCAGTCAAGCAAGTAGGCATAACATGCATGTTCATTATCGAGGACAGGCACTACCAGGTTGCTCTGGTTTCTTCTCATAGCTAGACAGACAAAAGTAGCTCCTGCATGGGACTCCAGCCTTCCCACTCTCAACTCTTCCTCTTCCAATGGCCTCAATACCTTCCTGGTACAATGGCAGACACTTTCCCAGTCAATTTGAGATTTTCTAAAATAATAAATTGGATCTTGCTTGTAACAAGGCTAAATGCTGAAATTCATGCTTTTCACATGGAAGGGAATTCTTTTGAACACTACAGTCCAGTGGTTCTCATGTGGAGGGGAATTTTACTTCCCTAAGAGACACTGGCAGTGTCTACAGATATTTTTAGTGGTCACAACTGGGGGAGTGCAACTGAAATCTAGAGGGTAGAGGCAAGGGACGCTGCCTTATAATACACAGGACAGACTCCACAACAAAAATGTCAGTACGGATGAGGTTGAGAAACCCTGGGGTCATAGTTGGGAAATGGCTCTGGAAGCAGACTGCATGGGATTAAAGTCCAGTTCCAGTAGGGACTGGCTGAGCAGCCTTGGACAAGTTGTTTAACCTCACTACCTCATCTGTAAAATGTGGATAATAACCTATTTGTTGTGAGCTTTAAACAAAAATGTATATACAAAGTTCTTAGGGCAATGCCTAGTAACATTGAGAGCACAATAAATGTTGGCTATTACTGTTACCATTACTACTAGAAATTTAGCACCATTCCAAATAAATTACAAGCCAAGTCTATTGAATTTAGAGAAAAAAAATTGGATTGAGAATATATATGTCCTCTTTGCTTAGAACCAAAATGATAACAGGGGTAACAGCTGTGTTCTTTACAGTGTTTCAAACTCTTTCAAATACCTCATGTCATACGATCTAGGCAACAACCTTACTGAATTCTCCCTGTTTCACAGATAAAGAACTCTTGTCTCAGAGTTAATGAGGTGCCCAAGACCTTCAGTAACTCAGGTCTTCTGACTGCAAATCTCCTGCTTGTTCTTGCTGCACCACCCTGTGTGTACTAGTTTAAGATCCCCCTTCTCTTCATTACACTCAACAACCTGAAGATCAAAATAAAACATAAGTGCCACAATCAATTGGTGAGGTGGCTCAGGCTTCAGGGGTGGGTAGAAGTCACATCTGTTTTTATGGTATGTATACAGCAGATTTTCCTTCATGGAGTATATATATATTTTAAATCTCTGAATTGAATTTTAAAAAATTAACTTTATGTATGGGCTAATATTCTTTGCTATTTATACTTCTGATTTTGAGGGGGAAAAACCTTAGTACTTTATATCTTAAAAATTTCTGATTATATTCATTATGTATATTTTGACTGTATGAGTATAAAGGTGAGACTACAGCTCCAACTATGTATGTTTCTAGGTCCATTATTTATTAACTATATTGTATCACAATTAAGCCTGAAAATCTACTTATAATTGTCAACATGTATTATTTAAATGTACAATAAACTATCTTATATATGATTAGAGACTATACACAGCAATTATGCCTATGTTAAAATTTCTACGTGTAGTTTTTTTTTTTAATGCAGATCAATCAGCCAGATTTATTCAGCTTATATGAAAATTGGTAAAATTGGGTATAAGGATCACAGTTCAGAAGGCAAATGGATAAGATTCTTTATGTCAGTGGTTTTCTGGAATTCTTTTGGTAATGGAGAAGGCAAAGCCTTAGTCCATGAAACTCTCATGACCTGTGGAACACACAGCTTGCTACAATCCTCCGTAGAACTTTTGTTTCAAAGCCCTCCATCAAGTTCTCCCAACAGCTGCCAAAATGTCATTCACTGGGACCCAGTGTTCTTTAGTCCTATTTGGTTTGTGCCAATTGATAAATGAGAAATTTTAATGATCACAAGTGATTTTTAAATGGCATAACAGGGTTGGCAATTTTCCTACAGTCCCACTTCAGTGTGAAAATTGCAAACACATACGATAAGATCTTTGCAATTTTCTCTTTCAAATAAATTTTGTCTGTCATTCTACGAGAAGAGAACCAAGGTGCACCCCCACCAATTTCTGCTCCGTGCCTTACCTTGGGACACTGGGCGGGGCCCTCGTGGGTCGAGATGGAACTTGTGGAGGGGCTCCAAAGGAGTCACTGCTGCTGGGGAAAGGAGGTAATGGGCCTGGACGGAATGGGACTGGGGGAGCCCCAGAGTGGGGTCCTGGGGAGGGAATGGCAGGAGCGGGTCCTCGGCCAGATGTGGGCCTTGTGAGGGGAGCGCTTAGTGTTGGCCTCCTTTGGGTTGTGGGGCTTGGAGGAGGTGACCTGAAGAAAAAGACAAATCATGATTTTCTCACTCCTTTCTGTCTGAATTAATCTCTAAAAAGTTTTGTAACTTCCTGACTGCTTTTTAAAAATTATTTTTTGACTGAATAAGTCAGATTCATATTATGAAAGTCAAACGTATAAAAGGATGAATGGAGAAAAGTAAACTTTCCCCTCCCTACTCCTTCACTCTGTTGAAGTAACCATGGATGTTTCTTGTGCATCCTTTTCAACTGTATTCTACATTTGTATAAGTGTATATATTTTATCTATATATAGAAATTGCCTTCTATATACCATAGAACTCAGTGTTCTACAATCTCCGTTTTTTTTTTTGAGACAGAGTCTCACTCTGTTGCCCAGGCTGGAGTGCAATGGTGAGATCTCAGCTCACTGCAACCTCCACCTCCTTGGTTCAAGCGATTCTTCTGCCTCAGCCTCCTGAGTAGCTGGGATTACAGGCATGCGCTACAACACCCAGCTAATTTTTGTATTTGTAGTAGAGATTGGGTTCCACTACATTGGGCAGGCTGTTCTCAAACTCCCGACCTCAGGTGATCCGCTTGCCTTGGGGTCCCAAAGTGCTGGGATTATAGGCGTGAGCCACCGTGCCTGGACTACAACCTCCTTTTTTTAAGGCTTCTCATTAACAGGATTATCTTTCATTTCGGGACTTAATAGAACTGTCTTGTTCTTTTTAGTGACTATACAACATTCCATTGTGAGGACGCACCATGCTGCATCTTGAAGGGAGTTAGTATAATCTGATCTTTATTTCTAAATGTAAATATCTTTTCCCCCTTTTCTGTAAGTCCATCTTGGTTTAGGAAAGCACTCTCAGAAAATGGTATTGGACAAGCATGGCAGGGATCAAGGGTTGTGGGGCCATCTTCTTACCTGCGAGAGTGCTGTATCCAGGAGTCATCCACTGGAGGTGGGGCCGGAGTAGACACGGTGGCAGTGCTGATGTCCCCAATTATCCCAAGGGCTTCTTTTAGGGCTTGGTACATTCGAAGCATTTCATCCCGGCGCTGAGCCTGCTCAGCAGATTCCTCCATCAGAGTATTTTGGTCCTCTGAAGAATACAACTGTGCTAGGAGCTCTGAATTTATAAAATCTTTGACCTGTCAGATCACCACAGAGAAATAAAAACAGGAATAAATGAGTGATTGAGTGGAGGCAGAAACATGGCTGTGGCATTCAGAGTCTGCACAAAGTCCACCAAGTCCACCCTGGGAAAAGTGAAGCATCAAACATCTGTTTACTCCTATTTTGTCTCTATCCTCAGTACTGGTGATAGTAACAGTTTCCCTCTGTCTTCTGGCTGTCGACACTGAAGGATGATAGAGATGAGTACAAGAAGGCCAAACCTGGCCATCACCAAAACAGGGCCTGCAGGCTTCATGAACATTTCACAGTGTTGTCTGAAGCTGTTTGGCTTATAGAAGAGGGAAGGTACTATGAGGTAAGCAGCAGTATTTTCAACAGAAAACAGTAATGTGAAGAAACCTACATAACCACACGTTTTCTATTCCTTGGCATTCCCAGTCCTTTCTCTACCTTTTACGAAAATCACTGGAAAATTATTGAGACTCCAAGTGTCAATGTTGTCTCAAAAGTGAAATTAGCACCAGTAAGTAAATATTTATTAAATACAGAATCTTGTATAACTATGCAGGTTGATTTATAAACAAGGGAAAGAGAGGCACTCTGTTTTCCAGAAGTTTACAGTAGAAGTTAGTTAACAGTGAGGAAGACTTACATGAGGTTTCATAGTTAGCTAATATATAAAAACAAGATTAAGTATGAACGCTACGTGGGGGTGTCAGGGGAGGGGCATTTTGTTGCAGGATGAAAATGGAGAGGATGAATATGATGCACAACAGTGAGGGTGGGAGTGCCAGCCACTGTATGTCATCAACCCTAAGACACCAGTGATTTTAAGAAACACTACTATCTTTTTTAAAAAATTTACTTATTATACTTTAAGTTCTGGGGTACATATGCAGATCGTGCAGGTTTGTTACATAGGTATATACATGCCATGGTGGTGGTTTGCTGCATCCACTGCCCTGTCATCTACATTAGTCATTTCTCCTAATGCTATCCCTCCCCAATTCACCCACCCCCTGCTATTCCTCCCCTAGACCCCCACCCCAAGGCCCCGGTGTGTGATGTTCCCCTCCCTGTGTCCCTGTGTTCTCATTGTTCAACACCCACTTACAAGTGAGAACATGTGGTGAAAAACACTACTATCTTATGTGCCATCTAATAAGACAGAAAAAAAATACCATCAATCAAACTATGACAGGATGTCAAGATGCCATTGAGTATAAGATGCATCTTCATTTCAGAAATAATAAATAAAAAGAAGTGAATGTGAGAATCAATGAAGTGTGGTATATACCAAGCGCCTTCACAAGTTACATGACAATTCTCATGATACACTGATGAAACATGCATTAGTATTTCAATTTTATAGATACAGAAACAAATTCAGAGAATTTAAGTATCTTGCTCTAGGTCACACAGCATTCAGTTGAATCCAAAATCTTCTGACTTGAAGTCCAGTGCCATTCCCTTACCCCATTATCTCACTGTGATGGAGTGCTTAGAAAAGTAAATTTATGTCTAAGCATAATTGTTTTACAGTGGTGCAGCAATTAACTTAAGCCTAGTGAAAATAAACCAGTTTGGATTTTTCAGTTTCTCTGTTACATGAGCAAGCTAACTCTTATCTAGACTTATGAATATCTCTAAGAAAGGCCAAAGGCAAGTATATTTAATTGTTAAAAAATCAGATGGATAACAGAAAAGCTGTCAGATGCTCAAAATTTCCAGGTTGTAGTTAACTTTGTAATTCAGAGATGACAAAAACCTAAAACACATAGCTTTATTATGTTTTAAAGGTATCAAAACATGTAAATAATTCTACTAATCAAAAAATTCAGCTAAATCAAAGCTTTATTATGGTGAAATAGTGCTTTCTGTACATATTTTGTAAATCAAGAGTGATTCAAAGGTGAAAGTAATCTAACATACAAGATGTATTTAGGAAACCCTCTGGTGAAGTAGAAGGTTTATGTACAATAGTTGTGGAAGGTAAGTTTGACCAGGAAACCTGGGGCAGATGTGAAGGCCTTGAATGCCAAGGAAAAGTGTTTGAACTTTATTCACTTGGCCGAAAGGGGCTATGGAAAGCTTTTAAGCAAGTAAGTGAAACAATAAAAGAGAGTTTTCAGGAAAATTAATCTGGCTAACATTGAAAAAGAACTGGCAAGGTTAGTAGGGAAAATAAAGAAATCCATTAGAAGACTATTGTAGATCATTCATAAGATGGTAAGGGTTTCATTTACTAATAATGCAGTGGTATGAAAGACAGATACATGTAATGACATTGTAAGGGAATAATTAAGTGGACTTGGTGCTGTTGGGATGTGAAGGGCAAGGAAGAAAGGAACAATCAAAGACACCTCAAGCATTGACATTTGGGTGAGTGGGAAAATAGAAAATCAAAAGTCAGAAAAGAAAGTCAGCTTTAGAGAGAAGGCAGTAAATTTGGCTTTAGAAATATTTAATTCCCTTCCTTTAAAGATGCATTCACTTCTAAATGTACTTGCAGGTATGCAAGGAATCATGGTTATTTGCACAAATTTCCCACTTTTGGATGTGTATATGCACTTGGATGGATGGTGCAATTCAAAACTCAAAACCAGACAATTTTCCTGGCATTAACCATTGGTTGGGTTAAGCTCTTTAGAGGGTTTACATATTACTGGAGTATCACTTAGAATCTATTAAATACAATTTAAAAGTAGATTCTTCCAATAATAGATTTAAAGCAGAGCTGAATTAAGAATCAGGCCGGGCACAGTGGCTCAAGCCTGTAATCCCAGCACTTTGGGAGGCCGAGGCGGGGGGATCACGAGGTCAAGAGATCGAGACCATCCTGGTCAACATGGTGAAACCCCGTCTCTACTAAAAATACAAAACATTAGCTGGGCATGGTGGCACGTGCCTGTAATCCCAGCTACTCAGGAGGTTGAGGCAGGAGAATTGCCTGAACCCGGGAGGCGGAGGTTGCGGTGAGCCGAGATCGCGCCATTGCACTCCAGCCTGGGTAACAAGAGTGAAACTCCATCTCAAAGAAAAAAAAAAAAAAAAAAAAAGAATCAACTGTCAAACTATGAAATAAAATAAGGGC